GCGAGACCTTCCCTCCCACTCCCACAGAGACAGAGAGACAGAGGAGAAGAGAGGGGAGGGGATGGATTTTTCTTTTTCTTTTGTTTTTGTGTGTGGGGAAAGAAAAAGGAGCGGCGACGTGGCGGGCGAGGGACGCGAGGTGCGCTCTTGTCTTGGCGGAACCCACGATGACCTGTGGGCCCCCCTTCTGTGTGGGCCCAGTTTGACAGCGGCTTGGCTCAGGGAGAGGGAGGTAGATAATATCCCAGAAAGAGAGAGAGATCGTCTCGTCTGTCGGTCTGTCACTCTTTCAGTGGTGATCGTCTGCGCCATGGAAAAAAACAGAGGATCCGTGCTGGTGTGGAGCGGACCAGCGTCGTTGGCATTCCGCCGGGTACCACGGCCGGGTACGCCCGTACGCCCAAACGGACGGGCTCGGCGCCTCACGGGCCCACCCCTTTTTTGTTTAACAGCAGTACGGCCCAGGCCCTTGGCCCACGCGTGGAGTGGGCCGCTGGTCCCGAATTGTTTATGTTTATTCCTGGGGGTCCACAAAAGAAATCGGAAATGCCGGACACCATTGGCGACCATTCTCTCCTCGCTTTGCCTTGCCTTGTTTGATTGGTCGACGTGGTAAATCACGGCCTAGCTGCTGCCAAACAAGAGATTACGGCGGACATTCCGGAGGTTAAAAATTCCAGCCCCATGCTAGCTAGGGTTACATTAAAAAAAATCCAGCCTCATGGCTTCTTCCATGAAATCCCAAGCTGACGACGTTCCTTGTTACGCACGCTCCGTCCCACAAACGTTCAAAAAGCCAAAATACCATTCCTCAAACAACGGGCAAAGAAAACTTCTCACAATAAATGAAAAAGAAATACGCACATGGCCTTAGAATTGTGGGAGATGTTAACTGCTCATGTCTGAGTTCCAACACTCCCGCAAAAAAAAAGGAAGATGTCCGAGTTCCAACGAGCGCCTTGATGGCCATCGGATGTAGGCATAAAACTTGCCACATCGCTATACAAAAGATAGGTGAACGCAATCATATTCAATACTTTTGGGAACTTTGTGAATATTTTTATAGATTGTCTAAACAATTTTTTAAATGTCACGAACCTCTTTTTGCAACACGTGAACATTTTTTTAATTGTCATGTACATTTTGCTGAATGGCGGTATTTGTTTTCTTGAATTACGTGAACATTCTTCCTTATTGTATAACTTTTTTGTTTGAAACGCGTGAATTCACACGTTTCAAACAAAAAAGTTATACAATGTGGAAGAGAGGGCTCGTTGACCGAGAGCGGGAGGGGGGGGGTGAAACATGAGGATGGATTTTTCCGGGGAAAAAAGGAGCGGGGTGTAAATCGTTTTCAGCGCGACGTGGCGGGCGAGGGACGTGGGGTGCTCTTGGCGGAAGCGATGGCATGTGAGCCCGGTTCTGTGTGGGGCCCGGTTGGCAATGGGGGTGAGCGGCGTGGCGCGCGG